CATAATCATGAGAGTATTTTAAAAGAGATTTCACATGAAGTCAAAATACCTACTTCATACCCATAAAAATTTAAAAAACACACTTACATTCCCTGTAACATTTAGTTATCATTTAGGTTTGAGCATTCAAAGAAACACATATTGTTCAAGCATCATTTTTTGGTAAATGTACATACAAAATCTCAAGCAAATAAATTTGCATAGGGATGGTCATGATATTTTGACAAGTTTAGGATGGATAAATATAAAACTGACGCAGAAACTGTGATGCCTGACAGACATTGGTGTTTGCTTCATTATTGTCATGGAAATTTTGTATAAAAATAAATTTGACAAGCTTTGTTATGTTTGGTGCAATTGAAAAAGTTGTTTGTGTAATTCCTTTGATGATTAACTGACTAGAGTTTTAATGATGCCATTGAAGAGAAAAACAATGAAGCATCATTCCTAGCAACTGGTACCCAGCAGCATAGAAAATGATTCACATTTGGCAAATTTACCTTGAATACAGCTGTTGGATGAACATAAAATTTGAATAGTTGGAAGAAAAATGAGATATGGAGCCTAGCATTTATAATGAATTATCAAGTGTGAATAATTGCACTCAGTTGAACCAAAACACTTAAATTTTTGAAGCTGACTCATCATTTTAATAATTTCCTTTTAAAAGCTGTTTTATGCCTAATAAATCCATATAACATCAAAGTGCTTTGAAACACAATCTCTGTTATTTCTTTCATTAGATAAGGAAGAAGTGAAACTTAAAGTAAAATGTTCCGTGAAGAAAAAAAATATATTTTTGCATGATATAGTGATTACCACACTATTTATTCTGACTGTCTGGGTTCATTATCTGGCTCTATGTGGTAGCAATTGTGTAATCATAAAGTAGTTTTTGGAGAAAAATTTGGTTCACAGGAGCAAAATTTGCCAATCAGAAAGAGCATGAGATTATATGCAGGATGGAGGTTAGACAGAGGAGGAAAAATCTTGATTTTACTCTTGCTAGTATGCTAGTTGTTCAGGGATATGACCCAGAGACCATGACATGCGAACTTAAACTCAATTAGCATAATTCTCTCTGACAGGGATAATCATGGTATCTAATTTTGTCACACCTAGAGGGGAAAAATATTACCAGTACATACTATTGCCTCTCTCAAAGAGTAAATGACATTCACATAACTATTGCCTTTTCTCAGATTTATAATAAGAAAAGGCAGTACTATAAGGCACTTGTTTTATGTGACTTTCCTTTTTGTTTTGCATCTTCTAAACTTCTTAATTTTGATTTCCCCTCAATGCCTAGTGGTTATTGGAACAACTATGTTCCATTAAGTAGGAAGAAAGATTTTTATATACTGAGATTTACAAACCCTTACATCTTTTTTTTTTTTTTTTGACCAAAACCACAAAGAGATAGATAACAAATGGCTATCAAAAAATAAAGTAATACATAAAAATTTCAACTGCATTTGGTGAATTTAAAATTTGGGCACCAGTAAGCTAGGCTGTGAGGTATTTTGGATTTCAGGGTCACATTAAGCAGTCATGTCAGGAGATGACTGGTGAGCAGAGGCCCCAAAAATGTAGGCCTTTTGAGCCTTCTAAAATTTGTGTTTATCACTCTATAGAATTTTAAAAGTTTTATTTCATGTGTTTTATTCAGTTTTGCATGTTTTTGAATGCATATAAATAAAATCATACTATAAATATTATTTAATTACACGTTCTTTAAATTAATTATCTCTAAGATTTGATCATATTTTTCAATTAAGCTATTATTCACTGATTCTCCTTCTACCTATTATTCAATTTCCTGGAGACAACACAATTTATTTATCATTCTTCTGTTTATAGACATTTGAATGTGCTTATTTTTTTCTTAATGTGAACAGTGCTACTTAAACATCATCATAGTTTTATCCTGGCTATCTACAGGTGGTTGTTTCTAGTTATATACAGTTATTATGGTCTAATATTTGACCCAAAACAAAACAAGAAATTTGTTTAACTTGACAGTAAAGTAAACCAAAAGTTTCACAAACAGAAGTAACACTCATTCAATGCAGAGTCATTTCTTAATTTTATTGTATTATATTTATATGCTATACCATGTTATTTTAGGTTGTTAACCTCTGGTCACCCTCCAACGGTCACAACCATAAAGCCAAGAGAGTAAAAGTTCAAGAATATTTAACTTGACAAACGAATTCAACTGAAGGCTGGTTCACTTTTACTCTCCTCTGTTTGAGATTCCTCTTTTTCTGAATGTTGAGCATTAGAAGATATCCTGTCAGATGGGCATCGTATAATTACGCTGTATATATACAAATGTATATATACATATATACGTTTTTACACCTACAGGGTTATTTGTCAATTTCAGCAGGAGTTTAGTATCTAGTCTGCAGTGTGGCTAGAAATGGAAGTTCTTACTTTTTGGAATCTTGAAAACTGAGACACATATTGGAATTTTGTACTTTCAGAAGTATTAGGTGAACTTGTTTTGGATAAGTTTCCCATTTACAACAAACAGAAGTTAGATGAAATAGAAAAACACATAAAATTATAACTACTGGTAGAGATTAGACATCTACCAAGGCAACAAGAAATTAGAACACAATCCCACGGAGTGGCAAAGTCCAAGTTTTCAAGGAGAATCTATCTGTAGACAGTTGCTACTACCCCTGCCTCCAGTCATTTGCTTACTTAAAAGCAACAACTCAAAGGCTGAGAGCAATTCAAATGTAAACATACAAGTAAATAGAAATGGATAGTGGCAATGATAAAAGAAGTATTTTAGCAATATCTACATCACATGGTAAATTGTTACACAAAACGTGGGAGGAAAAAATGAAATTAAAGTAATACAGTCCTTATGTTTTCTCAGAAGTGGTAATAGTATTAATAAATATTAGATTTTCATAGGTCACAAAACACATTAAAATCACTAGGACAACTCCAAATGGAGACTTAAAGATTATATAGCTTACATGCTAAGTAGAGAAATGGAATTAAGCATTCGTTAAAGGGTAGTTACCAAAAACTACATCAATTCTTAAAGTTATTGGGAAAATAATACAATATTTTTTTCCTGAGAGCTTGAAATGAATGAGAATATCTTCTATTATCATTTCTGTTCAATATTGTATTCAACAACATGTTGGAGGTTCTAGCCAGTACAATAAACAGAAGGTATAAAAATGAAAAGGAAGTATAAAGCTCATTATCTGTAAGTGATACAACTGTGTATGTAAAATATCTGAATGAATCCACATGTGAACTTAAAATTAATAAATGTATTTAGCAAGGTCACTGAATTCAAGATCATTATTAATTATACTTCTATATTAATGTTGACTAATATTGATCAAATAATAAACAAGTAAAGGATTAAACAAGTAAAATTATGTTCAAAAGTCATACCGCATATAATAACATAAAAATGATAGATAATATAAGAAACTGAATACCCAACAGAATGACTAAAATTTAAAATACTGGTCGGGCATGGTGGCACATGCTAGTATTACCAGCTACTTGAGAGTGTGAGGCAGGAATATCACTTCAGGTTAGGAAGTCGAGGCTGCAGTGAACCATGATCTCACCACTTCACTCCAGCCTGGGTGACAGAGAAAGACCTTGTCTCTAAAATAATAATAAAATAAAATAGGCCAGGAGTGGTGGCTCACTCTTGTAATCCTAGCACTTTGGGAGGCTGAGGCAGGGGAATCACCTGATGTCAGGAGTTCAAGACCAGCCTGGCCAACATGGTGAAATCCTGTTTCTACTCAAAATACAAAAATTAGCCGGTCATAGTGGTGTATGCCTGCAATCCCAGCTACTCAGGAGGCTGAGGCAGGAGAATCGCTTGAATCCGGGAGGTGGAGGTTGCAGTGAGCCAAGACTGCGCCACTGCACTCCAGTCTGGGCGACAGAGTAAGACTCTGTCTCAAACAACAACAACAACAACAACAACAACAAAACTAATAATAATAAAATAAAACAAATACTAACAATACTAAGTGTTATACAGAATGTGGAGCAATCAGAAGTTATGCTGTAGCTAGTATACAGGAAAAAGAGAAGCTTAAAGTTGTTTGCCAAGTGTTTGTAGCAGCATTATTTGTAATATCCCCAAATTGAAACTAGCCTAAATATCCATCAATAATAGATGACTGATAATAAACAAATGGTGGCATATTCCTAAAATATAACACTAGATCACAATAAAAATTAACTCACTAGGGCTGCCTGTAACAATATGCATGAATCTCACAAAATGTTACTAATGCAAAGAGTCCTAACACAGATAAATATAGATTTTATGGTTCTATTTTATAAAAGTTGGCAAAACTGATCTATCTAACTGATTCCTAACACAGATAAATATAGATTTTATGATTCTATTTTATAAAAGTTAGCAAAACTGATCTATCTGTCTGATTCCTAACACAGATAAATATAGATTTTATGATTCTATTTTATAAAAGTTAGCAAAACTATCTATCCTATGTAGATAGGAGTCAAGACCATGGAGGAGGAAGGTTAGAGATACTGAGTCAGGGCATCCGAGGGAACTCTAAGGTTGTAGTAATATTCTATTTCTTAATCTATGTGGATATGGGAAAGGCTAGAAATAAATTTTTATTAATAATTCTTTTTTTCACTCCTCTCTCTGAGAACTTTGACACATAACTTTAGAGTTTCTCTGATAAACGCAGAATGTATCTCCCTATATGACTTGCTTTGGTTAATACAATGAGGCAGAAGTGAAGGTATGTCTGTTCAAACCCTAGGCTCTAAAGGCCCTCATACATTTTTTTAAATATTTCATTTTAAATTTTTGTGGGTACATAGGAGAGGTTTCAATATCTCATGATATACATCATAGTAGATGTTTAAATATCTCATGTTGATACAGGCATGCAATGAATAATAATCACATCACAGGAAATGGGGTATTCATCTCCTCAAGCATTTATCCTTTATGTTACAAAAATATGAAAGGCTTCACGAATTTGTGTCATCTTGGCACAGGGGCAATGCCAATTTCCATATCATTTCAATTTTAGTCTATGTGCTACTGAAGTAAGTGCCCTCATGCATTTCTATTTGCTTTATAGCATTTCACTATGAGTAGAACATATCTGTGTTAGCCACCCAAATGGAGGATGGAAGAACTGTAGAGCAGAGATATACGAGATGTCTCACTACGTTTGTCTTGTTATAACAAAATACTTTAGATGAGCTAATTTATAGAGAACAAAAATGTATTTTTTCATGGAGGCAGGAATCCAAGATCAAGACACCATTAGGTTCAAATCTGTTAAGGGTCTAATCTCTACTTCCAAGTTGGTGCCTTGTTGCTGCATCCTCTGAAGGGGAGAAATGCTGTGTCCTCCCCAAGCAGAAGAGGTGGAAGGGATGGAAGGCCAAAAAAGAGAGACACAAACTCCCTTGAGTCCTTTCATAATGATATTAATCCATTCATGAGGGCAGAACCCTCAAGACCTAAATACCTCCCCAAACACCCATCCTCCCAATACTTGCATTGGGGATTATGTTTCCAACACATGAAGTCTGGGGGATACATTCAGACCACAACACCAGGTAAGTTGCCCCAGCCAAATGCAGCCTAGAGTGAACCCCTATTCGTATTTGCAAAAGCACAAGTAAGCAGCTAAACTGCAAACACAGGAGTAATGCCAGACATGTGGGCTTTGCTCTTGGTTGGATTTGGGAGGTTTCATTTAGATGGGAAAGTTCTGTTTCATGTGTTTTTCATTCTCTTCCACAGACTAATAATAGGCTAGACCAAATGTGTCTTTCTCATGATGATGGCATCAGCTCATGTAGAACAGCATTTTACACAAAGTTTCTTGGATTCTTGATTTGGAATCAGCTCTTCATAAGTTCTGCTTTATTCCATTGGTTAAAGCAAGCTAGTTACATGACCAAACCCCAAATCAAGGGGCAGAGAAACATCATCCTTTGTGGAAGAAAATGCAAAATCTCAAGGCAATAGTTTTAATCAGAGGGATTACGAAGTATTGGAGCCATTAATACAATATGACTCCTAGAATGATGTCACAAAGTAAATAAGTAATTACAGCATAATTCATCCATTAAAACTGTATTTAGTATTATGAAGAACAAATACTTCATGGTAAGCTCTACATGGAAAACAAAAGAGAAAACAAATATATTGTTAAGCATTTCCATTTCAAGATTACAATCCTGGATAATTATAATATTGACTATCACATTTCCATAGTAAGAGCTATTTAATAATGCACATGATATCTAGTCTGTATTTTGTTAAATGCTTAAAATCAACAGTAAGAAACAAAGCTAATAATATCCTGGTTATGGAAAATTTTCTGATTATTTTTCTATTTAATTTTGAGAGCTAAGCAAGCCAGGCTATTTCCTTCTATCTCCAACGATTTTGCGCAAAACTTCTACACCATTCATGATTACATACTGTGTGGTTTTACATTTTTAGGTTTGAGAAACATATATTTCTTAGGGATTATGAGGGAGTGAGGTAGGGAATTATTAGGGAAAAAAAAATTCCCCAATATGTTACCTTTGCGAAGAAAAAAAAAAAGTTGCACCACTGTTTGTACTTTCTTGGGTATCTCGTTCAGGGCCATTCTCATCATTCTAATGTTCACTCCCTGACTCACTCCTCTGCAGGAGGAGGAAGGAGTATCTAATATGTCCACATAATCAGATGGTGTCTCGAAAGATCTCTTTTCTCCCTTGACTACCTTCAAGCAGAGTAAATTCTTCTCTTTTTCCTCTTCCAGTGTAATAAATATTTTGGGATCCACTCTCTCTTATAACAGGGTGGAATGATAAGGAAGAAACTGCTGTTTGGAAATTTTATCTCCAAGTACGTAGGCAGACTCAAATAAAAGTGGAATAAGCAAAATATCTCTGTTGTGTTTTCCAATCTAGTTTCATCAATAATGTATAATTAGATTCTTACTTGGCTTATTCTGCCTGCTGTTAGTTGATTGGATTTAGGGTAGCTGCAAATTCTTTGACATTCCTTCTGTTGAAAGTGGGGTCTATACCTATAAATTCAGTGATGAAGCGATGCTTCCAAGGCTGGGGCATAAAATTTCCATGCAACTTTTACCTTGTTCTCCTAGAACAATCACTTTCCAGGTGCTTCCTCTTGGTTATCTCAGAATCCAGCTGCCATGCTAACAGAAATCTAAACCACCTAGGGAGGCCCTGAGAGGGTATCCGGCTTACAGTCCCAGCTGAAGCGGATTAAATCGGGCACCAGACAAGAAAGTGAGAGGCTCCAAAATCATAGACCAGAGACCAGCCATTTTTGTTGGACACTATCTGAATTCCTGATCCACAGAGGCAATTAACATAATCAAATGGTGGGTTTTTTTTCAGGCCACCAAGTTAGGGTTGCTTACATAGCGATAATAACTGGTACATTAGAGAAAAGAGTGTGGATGAGGAAAAACCATACATCCACGCAACAGATGAATCATACAAGAGAAAAGGACAATTCTTGGAAACAGAACTCTCAGAAATGTAAATCTGTTTCAGTTCTTCAAGCCTCATAAGGATCTAATTGGCCAGAATTGGTTGCTTCCAATTAAGCCTCTAATATTCAAAGCCAATTATTAGTGCAAGTCTGAAATGACTTTAGGAATGTGATTTTAGAATGACTGAGGCCAGATTGTAATAACTAGAAATAAGTATTACCCACCTAGTCAGCTCTGTATCTGCACCCTGAACTGATGGGACTATATATGTATGCGACCTTAATTATAAAATGTAAAAATAGTTGTGTATGTGTGTGTGCACTTCCTTAGAGAAAAAGACAAATGACAAGAAAATAAATTTATATCAGAATTTGAATTTAGTCATAATATTCTCATCTTCAGACACACACACACACACACACACACACACACACACATACATATCTCCTGGATTTAGAGCAAACCTTCACCACCTCTTCTATTGTCTACATTTATATCTGTATTTCTAACTATGAAATTAGTATTTGTTTGAATCGAAGATCCTAAGATAATTAAATATTTATTTTCTCTACTACATGCCATCAAGTATGTTAAAAATTTAGAATTTCAATAATAAGGATGAGATGAACAAACAAAACCTTTAAAATAATTTAATAGCTGGGGTCACCAAAACTGTACTATTCCCAGAATTTAATGATCCAATTTTTTTTGGTCCCTCTTTCAATAACGTAGCATTACAAAATTTATTTTGAAATTTTATGATATAATTTATGCCATTTTAGTGCCTAATTCACATCCTTGGGAGAAAAAAAATTTAGTTTACCTTTGCACTGGTTATTCAAACTCAGTTTCAAATTACAGGTACTCACAGGCACTAGCTTAAGCAATATGGGATATTCATTACAATGATGCTAGAATATCTCATAGAATTGAAGGGCAAGCATAAATTTAGTTCTCTGGAACTGCCTAGAGACAGGAATTAGGAGGTTTTATGCCTCTCTTTGTGTCTGTTTCAATTTTCTCTTTCTCAAGGATCAGCTGAGTCCAATTTTCCTGACCACATAGCAAAGCAACAACAACAACAACAACAAAACATGGCTGCTGATGAACCCCGAGTTGACATGTTGTTCCTAGCACAGACTTTTCTTTTTTCAGTCTCAACTTCAGATTCCAAGGGATTGAATTATGAATGGCCTAGGCTAAGTCATTGTCTTTGGGAAATGGACTTTGATGGCCTTGCCGTTAGGCCTCCTTAGAGGACAGGGTAGCGTTGTACAAAATAGCTTCACAGACTAACCACTGCCCTCCTGTGGTGAAATGGGAAAAGCAGCCCCCAAAAAAGGGTGGTATGAGAAGACTAGGCAGAATGACTTCCCGTGAGAAATCTATAATGAATACAAATACTGTATTTTGAAATTTCAAAATGAATTAATAGGGGAACCAATAAGTTAAAAAATCTTGCTTTGCCACCTAATGTGCTTTCCATATTGGAATGCTATGCAAGGCATCTACCAGTTATAGTTACCCCTTCGAGGAGCCTCAGCATAACAGCCAGATCTATACTGAGCTTGCCAAGTATTCTCTTTGCATTGGCTACGCAGTTGATTTACAAGGGATTACTGCCCAGCAGCCTAAGGGGCTCAAGGGGAGAACCACACATACCAGCGACACACCATGCTGGATTGTGATGGTCAACCCATCAATGCACTCTTTTCCAGGTGAGTTTGAGTTGAAATTGGTCACCTTGACATTAGAGTCAGTGCAGGTGCAGCAGACCCTGCAGTAGTAGCTGAACATCAAACAGGTAGAAGTACTCCCATGGAGACCAGACAATTCCTGTTTTAGCAGAAATGATCAGTAGAGATATTTCTGATTCAGCACATCCAGACCAATAGAGCTGGGGAGGGATGAGGTACTGTAAGAAAATGATATTTCAGGCCCCAAGTGGCTTCTAAGGCCAGTTCTTACGTTTTCTTACTTACACACATATTGTTAAAATAAGTTCCCATTACCTGAGAAAAGCAATGTGATTCTGTGCTATGCAACTTAAGAGAACCTATTTCATACACTTCTCAGGATGCAAACAATTGACACTGATGACTGAAAGGATGCTCAGATTAACAGTAAATAATTTTGAAAAGTGTTGGTTTGTTGGTAATAATAATGAAAAATAGCAGTGATAACAACAGTGACAACAATGTTAACTACTTTATATTGAGTGCTTACTATGCTCCAGCAAAAAAACTTCACAGACATTCTCTTAACCTAAACACCACATTGGTACTATGAGGTTGTTTTCATGTTATCATTCTCATTTTACAAGTGAGGAATCTGAGGCTCAGAAAAACTAAGTTTCCCAGGGTCTGTAGCCAGGAAATGATGAAGCCAAAAATGTGACACAGAACCTGAGCTCTTAACCACTTTGCTGAACTGCTTCGGCGGGATTTTTTAAAAAATATAGAGTATTGAGAACAGATTGGCAATTTCATTTTGAGAAACCAAGTAAAGTGCAATCTAAAGACACATACATAAAGGACTCCCAGTAGCAAATATGTGGTTTACCTTTCCACATATTTTCT